GCAAAGTTTTGTAATAGCCGCCAAGATTACTGGGATGTCTTACTCCCTCCACTGTTGGTGGCCTATAGAACAGCAGAGCATGAAGCCACTGAATACACTCCAGCAAAGCAAAAACTCCAAAAAACAACTAAAGAGGGCCCTCAAATTTGCCATAAGAATAAAAAAAAATACTTACTTCAGAATTATATGTAACTTAATGTTAAAACATTAGTCATACACAGTTCACAGTATCAGTAATAATGAAAACGGAGAAGTCCTACACATGACGTCTTTAATAGAAATATTCTTAAGTAACTCCTTTTCGTTACAGATCATTATTGGTAGAATTAACACACATGTTAATTTAAATGTTACTGTGATGACAATAGACAAATAATTATTTCTTTTGTGCTGACAGAGCGGTAATTTATTATTTTATGTACTTTTCCACCTGTACCCCCCCCCCCCGGAATTTTTTCCGGTGTCTGGGTGGGCCAGTCTTTGCCAGCTGCAATTCTATTTACATTTTAAACAAACAATGTGACAAACTTTGTGACTATAAAAACAGAACAACTACACATCTCATCAATAGCCTTAAAGTAATACAAATATAATGATAACCAGTGACTCAGACCATTTGCACAAGTGACAAAATATCTTTAGACTTTGCTGGAAAATTAAACAGTCCCCACCTCCCCAGTGACTCAGCGGTAAGTTTGCAGGCTTGCAGTTTTAATACCCGTAGCGGTAGCTTTGCACTTAACAACAACTGAGAACAGGATTTTTAACAAAACAAAGATGGCGAACATTTCAAATGCTTTATGTGAACGACGTGTTATTTTGACTACGATTGTATATAAATTTCAAACAACTTGAAGATAAATGTCACGAACTTTGTGATTATAAAAAAAAGAGTAACTACACATCTTCATAATTTAAAATTAGTAAAAAGATAACGATAACTAGAGATCAAAATATCGTTGTGTTGTAGAAAATTCAACGCACTGTCTTTTCTTTGACTATCAGTAAATTGCAAGGTCGATGAAGCGATAAGACTATAGTGTTTATGCTCTTGATAATGATGGTCGTTGTAATACTACTGGAATTATAATACAGTAATGGGCGCGTGAATCGAAGGCCATGGCAACATCGTCTCGGCCCCAAAATACACAAATAGTGTGCTTTGTTTTTCTGTATAAACAATGCACTATAATTCAGTCGGGTTATGCAAAAAGAAAAAGTACAATCATAACTATTTTTGCTACAAATTGGTGTAAAGTTTATTGCATAGACTTAGAAGGGGGCCTTCTTATACACCACAAAGTGTGACAAAAACTTACGGATAGCGGTTCTTCTTACTTACAATGAAGTATGGCAAATACTTAGAAGGGGTCTTCTTATACACTCCAAGGTATGACAAAGACTTAAGGATAGCGGTTCTTTTCACTTACAATGAAGTATGGCAAATACTTAGAAGGGGTCTTCTTATACACTCCAAGGTATGACAAAGACTTAAGGATAGCGGGTTTTTTCACTTACAATGAAGTATGGCAAATACGTAGAAGGGGGTCTTCTTATACACTACAAGGTATGACAAAGACTTTGGGATAGCGGTTCTTCTTACTTACAATGAAGTATGGCAAATACGTAGAAGGGGGTCTTCTTATACACTACAAGATATGACAAAGACTTATGGATAGCGGTTCTTCTTACTTACAATGAAGTATGGCAAATACGTTGAAGGGGGTCTTCTTATATACTACAAGGTATGACAAAGACTTATGGATAGCGGTTCTTCTTACTTACAATGAAGTATGGCCCCTCATAGGAATCGATGGAGTTTTTCTTATTATTATTACATAATTCGTGACGTCAGAGGTATGAGAATCAAGGGGGAAGTTTAAACTAAAATATAAATAATCTTTAGATTATAAATAGTCACGCTACTGCAGTATATTTCGTCGTATTTTTGAACACAATGTGTTAACCCTCAAATCATAGACTCGTTTTTTACACCATTCCTACGTGTGGAGTACACATATGTGGTGATTCATTTTACGTTTTTTGTCTGTTACAACACTTAGTGTAAAGAACTGACAGTTATATGACGTCACTCATGCGTAAAATATATAGAGGGCTTCGGTAGTACGTACTGGGTTTAATTGCAATATTGATAGTATTTTTGTTCAGCTTGTTTTCTGGGCGTCACTCGCATTATTAGGCATCCTGTAACCATGAGTCATGGATACACAAAGAAGCATTGTCTCGTCAGGTATCAAAGACGTGTTAGCACATTAGAATATAATACTAAAATTTTAGACCAGCGTTTCTCAACCGATAGGTTTCGACTCAAAAATGTGTCGTCAGAATGTGTAAAGTGATAATGGATAATAGTTTAATTAATTATGTTTTAGCACTAAAGTTGCTTACAGGGTTGTGAGTTGGTGACTGGCCGTCAATATTTACAAATTGGGTCTTAAGTTAAAAGAAGGTTGAGAACCGCGGTGTAGATTACCTTTTGACGACAGGTTTTTCTAATACTCAATCCTGAACTATATTTTGACGACTGATTTTTCTAATACTCAATACTGAACTATATTTTGACGACAGGTTTTTCTAATACTCAATCCTGAACTATATTTTGACGACTGGTTTTTCTAATACTCAATCCTGAACTATATTTTGACGACAGGTTTTTCTAATACTCAATACTGAACTATATTTTGACAGGTTTTCTAATACTCAATCCTGAACTATATTTTGACGACAGGTTTTTCTAATACTCAATCCTGAACTATATTTTGACGACAGGTTTTTCTAATACTCAATCCTGAACTATATTTTGACGACAGGTTTTTCTAATACTCAATCCTGAACTATATTTTGACGACTGGTTTTTCTAATACTCAATACTCAACTATATTTTGACGACTGGTTTTTCTATTACTCAATACTGAACTATATTTTGACGACTGGTTTTTCTATTACTCAATCCTGAACTATATTTTGACGACTGGTTTTTCTAATACTCAATCCTAAACTATATTTTGACGACTGGTTTTTCTAATACTCAATACTAAACTATATTTTGACGACTGGTTTTTCTATTACTCAATCCTGAACTATATTTTGACGACTAGTTTTTCTAATACTCAATCCTGAACTATATTTTGACGACAGGTTTTTCTAATACTCAATCCTGAACTATATTTCACTCCCTCGGCAATCCATTTCTGTATATATCCATCTTGAAGACATTAAAATTTCGGTCCTAAAGCTTGTCACAGTTAGTATCCACAACCGAATAAAAATGTCACGCCAATTTAAAGTTACAAACTAAAGAAATGAGGCTTTAAATTAACTTTGTAAATAAACTAACTAATCCGTTTTCCACTCAATGAACATATCTCCTTAAATAACTAAGCAACACACACATCCAGGTTTGAAAATACCTTCTGACCCAAAGACTTTGTCCACTACTTTGGACCGAATAACGGAGTTTACTGTTGCTTTTATAATGCACTTACAGATAAAAGAGTGGAGGGCGTTCTGCAGAATCACGTCTCGAACCTCCGATCCATAGCTAATCACTGAACACCCCGGCCCAGTGTTTTAAAGACATTAATTGATTATTATACCGCTAAAAACAGAGTTTCGATTATCGTGGTGGGCACAGCACAGATAGCCCACCGTGTAGCTATGTGCTTAATAAAAACGAATAAAATGACCTAGCGCACCTATTGAACTTTTCCTTCTAATTTCTTTGAATGATATCTACAAGTATTCACAGCAATCAGCCCCACCTAGTTTACACTTACAGACAGCTATAAGTACACAGTGTTTCAATACTTATGTACTTGCCACAAGAGGGCGTTATTTTATTTTAAGTTTAGAAAAAAAAAACTGCTTTGTTTGCATCACAAACCAACTGCAACTTCTTAAAAAAATAAAATATCATACCTCTGATTCTCTTTCCAGGTCTCTAGCTAAGTGGACTATTGTTAAGATGCGCTTTCTTTGTTCTGGGTTTTCAATTCCTAAGCCCTTTTTCAAATCTTTGTCTGAAAGGTTACAAAAATCTGATAATCTCATATGGAGAGGAATAACTCCACCAAGAATTTCTTGCATGCAGTGTTTGGCCACAAAATCTCCAACAGTCGAATGACACGCCCCCTGGTGTCCTTGTGGAGGCATAGTTGAATGGGCCGCAGGGAGAGAGTCAGAACGACAAAAGAATGCTTCTCTCCTCGACCTCCGCCAGAGGGCGGGGTCTCGTTCTACATCACTCATTCTTCGCCTATGGGAAAAAAAAGATAGTTTTGAAACTTAGTCCGTTTTATAACATTAAAATATACGCCTTAATACAAAAGGTAATAAAACTTATCGGATAAACATGAAGAAAATATATAATTAAAAACAATGTAATTAATCATCATATTTCAAATCTGTGGTAATTTAGAGTTGATTAAAATCGAAAGTTTGGTATTAGTGAATTATCCAAGTGGAGAGTCATCACATTATGCTTGTTCTACAGACGCTAAGCCTAAATATCCATGCTTGAATTAACACGATAGATACGGCTCATGTTGATGCTAAAAACTAGATTAATGTTTATAATCTACAAACAGTTCAGTGAAGAACCTCAGTAAATGGAACAAACTGTCCGAATTCCTCCTAAACAATCTCACATTGTCTAACTATTACCCAAAGCAGCTTAACATACTTCTGGCTAGTTAGCGTTCCTCATCTCGAGATTGAGTCACGTAAAGGAATTAGAACAGTTGACAGTGGTCCATTTGTTCCTGGAATTTTGCCACAACGAATAATAACTTGTAATTTTGAAATAAAATAAATTATACGCCAAAAAGTTAAGGGCATTTATTTATCTTGACACTTTTACTTGTCGCTTTTCAAGTGAGTCTCTGAACAGTAAATGATGATATTGTTGTTAAGTAAGGTTACTGTCATAGTAATGTAGTTGTTAAGCATCTGTTACCATGGTAATGCAGTTGTAAAGTCCTGTTGCCAAGGTAATGTAATTGTTAAGTAAGTTTATTATCATAAAAGTATTTGTTTGTTTGTTTTGAATTTCGCGCAAAGCTACACGAGGGCTATCTGCGCTAGCCGTCCCTAATTTA